TTCAAGAGCAGCCTGCTGACTGCAACTGAAATCATGTAAACAAAGTGAATGCTACTAGAAGGTACAATGCCCCAGATTAGTGGCATTGAAATGTGCTCGAGATTAAAAATAAGTCAAGATGCACTACCAAATTTTAATTCTTACCACCAAGGTACCACTAAAAAGAGGCTTCACATCTTGAGTTTCGAAACTAATAGTTACTTCTAAGTATAACCTTCCAGCAAGTGCAGACACAGCATTAAGGGACTCCTTAACAGTTCTACATTGAATACTTACTTTCAATTCATTTGAAGACCAACCCTGCAGCAATAGTTGAAATATTGTAAATCAAGAAATTTGCACTGTAGAGCAAATCACCATCAGAAATGCCACTTAGCTTTCAGGCAAGTTCTCAATTTGGAACAGTGCTAAGAAAACAGCTGTTTCTTTATCTTGGAGTTGGAGCTAGGTAACTCAATTAATTGAGAAATGTTCAAACACAGTATTGTTGGAGATGCTAGCTTTATATTTTTGTAAACAGTTGAAACATCAGTGTAACATCACACGAGGCCCTTAAAGTTATTAAAACTGAAATGAAATTTGGGCTGAAAAACCAACTGTTATACTAGTGATTAGGTATTTCTATCTACTCTGGGAAACTGGCCTGCACTTTCACATGTAGCTTCATTCATCCAGACGCTGGCAGCATTTTAACATCCGAGTTTGCCAATGTCTAAAACAAAACTAAGAATCCTGTCACTAAGTAGAGCATCTGGATTTTTTTGAAAAAAACCATATTTACATTTGCAAGGATACCACATGCCACAAATGTTTGTTCCTGAACAAACATCAATCATCCACACAATATATTAAACTAACCTCGCTCTTTCTGGTCAGTACAGATATTGCATGTCATAATTGTCTTTCCTTATGCTGAAATATTATACCTTCAAAAGGATCACAACTACAAGTCTATCAAATACAGGTGAGCTGCGAGTCAAAAATCTATTCAGGTTTGAGCATGTTTAACTATGTTCTGACACAACCCCTAAGGATCAGGTACATCACACATTAAATTCACAGAAAGAGTCATTAAAACCTACAGGTGCTCAAAAGCAAGGAAGGAGGCCTCTAACCTGCATTATTCAAGAGGTCTTCATTAAACCACATAACTACATTATAATACAACTAACTGACCCAAGCTCAGGTACACTTCAGATAAATCTTCTCATTCTTGACCTCAAGGATGACTCGCCTCCATTCTTGGTTAATGGGCTTGGAGATGGTATATGTGAACAGCAGATTCACCACACGCAGTTGGATGTTTGAAGAGGTGGCTGGATAGTTTGGAAGTTTGTGCACTGCCTCCAGCATCTAAAATGTCTTGCGTTTACAAAATAAAGACCAGCACTGCAAAATCATTCATTTCGGTGCTTCAGCAAGAAATCATGAGTTACGCCAAGTCTTTCTTATTAAAATCCACCTTCCCTTCTTTCCAATTCGAAGTGCATACCTGTGATTTGCAAAACCTTACCAGGCCAACCACAAAATAACTTGAAACTGCTTACTTACTCTTGGAACCAAAGATGTCCGAGTAACAGAAGCAGCGTGTGGAACAAATGATCAGCTAAAGATGTGCCACATGGATGGACATCCCAGGAACCAGATCAGGCATTCTTGTCTGGTATGGGTCAGCATCATGTCATAAGCCAGTGACTACAGCCGACAGACGCTATTAATAGCAGCATTATGATGCAAGGTAAATGACAGGAACAGACCATTCATCCCAAACAAGACAGTGTTTATGCTCCACTCAAGTCTCTAGCAGTTTTTTAAAATCAAATTCTACAATTGTAACCAAATATTCCCTTGTTACAAGCTTATATACTTCTCCCTTAAGTTAATACCAGTCTCTTCAACCACTACCTGGCAACATCCTTGTAGATCTTTTCTGACCTTTCACCACCCCCGCCCCACCCCTACAATTCGTTCTTAGCTCCTATCCAGACTTGTACCTCCCAAATAACAAATCCAAGTAAAATGCATTTCATACTTATCAGTGTTGAATTTTATTTGTCAATTAATTCTTCATTTTGCAATGTAATATCTTGTTATTGCGCTAGAGTATGCCACAGCACCAACTATGCCTTCAAATTCAGTGTCATCCACAAATTTAGAATTAAAATCAAAATCACTAACACATTAGAGTTATACAGCACAGAAACAGACCCATCGGTCCAACTTGTCCAAGCCAACAAGATATCCTAAATGATTCTAGTCCCATTTGCCCACACATGGCCCATATCCCTTTAAACCCTTCCTATCATGCACCCGTCCAGATGCCTTTTAGACGTTGTAATTGTACCAGCCTCCACCACCTCCTCTGACAGCTTGTTTTTTTATACACACCAACCTGTGGTGAACAATTTGGCCCTCAGGTCCCTTTTAAATCTATCCCGTCTCACCTTAAACCTACGCCCTCTAGTTTTGGACTCCCCTATCCCGGGGAAAAAGACTTTGGCTATTTACTTTATCCCTGCTTCTCATGATTTTATAAACTTCTATAACTGCACCCCTAAGCCTACAATGCTCCAGGCAAAAAAGCCCCTGCTCCAAAGTTCTGAGGAAGGCTCACTGGACCCAAAACATCAACTCTGATTTTTTCTTTACAGATGCTACCAGACCTGCTGAGTTATTCCAGCAACTTCTGTTTTTGCCCAAGCTTATTCAGCCTCTCCCTATAGCTCAAACCCTCCAAACTGGCATCCTTGTAAATCTTTTCTGAACCAGTTCAAATTTAACAACATTCTTGCAGCACGGAGACCAGAACTGAGCACCGCATTCTAAAAATGGCTTCACCAATGTCCTGCACAGCCACAACATAACATCCCACATCCTATACTCAAATGTTCTGACCAATGAAGGCAAGCAAATGCCTTCCTCACCACCACCTACCTGCAACTTCATTTTCAAGGAACTATGCACCTGCACCTCTAGATCTCTTTGTTCAGCAAGACTCCCCATGGCCCTACCATCAACTGTTTCAGTCCTGCTCTGGTTTGCCTTACCAAAATGCAAGATCTCACATTTATCTAAATTAAACTCCATCTGCCACTCCTCAGCCCATCGGTCCATCTGATCAAGGTCCCACTGTACTCTGAGATTACCTTCTTCACTCTCCACTACATCAATTTTGGTGTCACCTGCCAACTCCTATATTCACATCCAAAACATTTTAATGAAGAGCAGAGATCCAGCAAATACTGTGAAACAAAAGCAAAAACAGAAACTGGCCTGTAGAAATTCAGCAGGTCTCGTAACATCGGTTGAGAGAATGCAGAGTTAATATTTCGGGTCCAGTGACCCTTCAGACTCAGTTTCTCCAGCAATTTCTGTTTTTTAAATTTCCAATATCCGCAGTTCTTTGGTTTATTTTATCTGTGAAATACATCAACCGTCTCCTATTCTGAATAACTACCCTCTATTCCCACAATTACTTACTTAACCTCGAACTTAGATGGTACTCCATTTTGCCACTTCCTCCCCAACTCCACATCCTCTTGACGGAACTCCAGATAAATTACACTTACTGCATTACTGCTGTCTAGACTATTAACTCATTTAAACAAAAATTAAAATATGTCAACATGATTTTCACGTTTGAAATCCATGCTATTTCCACTTCAGGTGCTCTTCTTTACTAGGGAAGTTATTATTTTTGCAGAACTGACATTACACTGATTTGTCCATAACTCACTGACATATTCTATTTCACATATCTTAAATATAGGAACTACATTAAATATCTAACAGTCCTCGTACACTACTCCTTAATGCTTCTGTTAGCTTTTCCAATTGTTTTAAAATACATGAACTCAATCCATCTAGGCCAGAGGCCACATCTTTGCGGTCTGATTACTTTATTCAATATGTCCTTTTATTATTCCAGATGAACATGGTTCATTGCTCGCACCGTTCAATACCATGGATTGGGCAGTGAATTGCAATTACACTGGCACTGTTTACAAACATTAAGCACATAAACTTATGATGAACACCCCAAGATTTCTTTTGACATCTGTACTGCTAGTTAGAACATGCTAAATTACACACCTCAGTAAACCTCAGCACTACTATTAATATTTCTGATTGTAATCCACCTTGTTAGTGTTTCAGTTGCACTACCATCTCAAACAATTAAATAAATATTTTAATTATTATTACATTAAATATTTCACAAATCCTAAATTAGCACATTTGATTTCTTAATAAGAAAGGGAAAATATGAGAGAAGCTGGTGGAATGGTCTATTAACCGCTTAAGCAAAGTAAGTTTCATCAATAAAAACTTGCATCTGTTCCAGCAGGCCCAGAAATTGTAAAAGTAACTGAACAACAGGTTGGTGAAATTTCATGGTAACAATGAATGAAAAGTACAATAAAAATGCAGAACATGTCAATGTCAAATATTAAGACAGTAGAGAGACATTGCAGCAAGGATTTGGAGTCTGACATGTAACGCTTACTGTATAATCATAATATACATCATTTGGATGGGGGTCAGAGATTAGCAAACTATTTAAAAAAACTATTTAATTATTCACGCTTGCAAATAACTGTATACCATGTTGCATTGCTATATCACATTCACATCTATTGCTCTTAACAGGCTAAATACCACTGGTTCACTGTTTGGAAGTCGAAAAGAATCAGATCTTCAGCAGATTTTGGACAGCAAATGTAATAAAAAGATCACAAGAACCACCTGATCTCATCGACAGTATTACAAATGGTGCACACAATCAAACACAAGTTGAAAAATTTGAAGTTTCTGTCTCACTGCACGAGAGAAACTATGTGTAATAGTGCACATAAATAAAGGATTCAAACAATTCATGGTAGACAGAAATATATCCAATTAAATTAATTTAACAATACTCTATTAGAAAGATCAACCTGCAACAGTAATAGATCTCCTTCCACAAACCATACTGAACCATTTTCAGGACATTTTGCACATACCTTTCAGAGGAGAATTCACCCCCGTCAGCTTTTTCTTCAACAGGTCTATCAAAGCGTCGTTCACGAGGTGGTGGTCTTCTGTCTGGCCTCCTTTCACCAGGTTTTCCTTCACCTTGAGACTGCTGCTGCTCAGGCTTTCTGCCAACCCTTCTGACACCTAAAATACAAGTTTGCAAATGGTGAGGCACAAGTGTTACAAGCACACCAAAAGTGATTTATACCATTTGATGCCAACATAGACCATTGTTCCCAAGGAGCAAAATTTTCTGTAAAATACAACCATACTCAAATTTTGGGACAGAAGCAGCCTCCTGAAACAACCTAGGTCTAGTTTGAAATTAGAAGTGTCCTTTGACCTCTGCAGAAACAGTAATTTTCCCTCCTCTCTCAGATGTCTAAGATATTAGAATGTATGAAGTGTTAAACCGGTGGTTTAATGTATGTTTAAATTTAAAAAACTGAGGGAATAAACGTGCCTTTATACTGGGTCCTTTATCACTTTGTGCCCTGGAGGCCTTCAGACCTGTGCAGGCAGACATGGCAGCCAATACATGCACAGCATGGTTTAACAAATCGCAAAATATATGACTAAGGAATCAGATTTGTCACAGCTAAGAATTTCCTGCTTTTCTGGTTGCAACTTCAGACAGCTCAAAAAAAGGCACACCTCAGTGATAGCCCTGTGTTGTGGTTCTTGCATAGGATTTGAACAGTAGTCCAAACTGGGGAGGAATGTGCTACAAGTACAGCACAAATAAAAACAAATTGCTGAACAAACTCAACGGGTCTGGCAGCATCTGTGGCGAGACCCTTCTTCAGAATTGGACTCAAAACATTAACTTTGCTTTCTCCCCAAGGTTACCAGACCTGCTGAGTTTCTCCAGCAATTTGTTTTTAATTTCGGAATTCAAGAATCTGCAGTTGTTTAATTTTACAGCACAAATGAAGCCTGGCTGTAGTCAACAATGTATATTTCAAATTCAAAAGCAAACCCAAATCTACATTATGATTTAATATTTAGATGAACTATCATTGTAGCCAGTACAAACAATCATTCAAATATAACCACTTTATCATGCATAAAAATGGAATTCTTCTACTTTGTCAAGTGTAATTCTTGAAATTTTAAACAATAGAACCCTTGTACCAACAAACTTACACTTTCTGGAATTCTCAAAGTTGCATTCTCTGGTTTGCTCATCTCAAATTTAGTGAAAAAAAAACATTTGTTTTGTAGCAATACATTCAAATATTTTATACCAGAGTATACATCTGAAGTAATTAATCAATATTTGAAATTGGTTTACCCAAACTGCCATCACCTTTCAAGTTGTAGTAATAACTACAAGAATAACCCTGTTAACTCTTATCTATTGAGCACAGCCTGCCAAGAAATAAAATCAGTCTCACACCTCTCAGAGAACACTGGGACACAGCCAAAGACCCAATCTTCCAAGTGTCTCTCGTTTGATGATGGAAATGAACTAATTCAATTGGTCATTTTCAGATATTGACAGCAAAGAGAAAAGCCTCAAAGACCAAAGTGGGAGTTTTCAGTTGTAGCTCAGAAACTAGTTCTCAAATGTACATAACTAAGTTTTTCTGACATTCAATAACCTATCAAGTTTCCCTTAAAAAAACTTCATTTTCCAGTCTCCACTTTAAGAAACTTAAGTTTAACTACATTTTGATATTTGCACATACTCTTAGTTATAACAGTATAAAATAGATCATACAGATTCACATTTTAAAGTTTTGACTCAAGTGAGTTATAAAACGTCAGGACCACGTGTATCTGCTGTTAGCTGTAGTAAAATAGCTGGGTTACAGGAAGCCAACAGAAACAAGCAGAGAGTTAAATTAAGAGATGAGCAGAGTCTGTAAAGAATTGAACTAGTTGCTCTCAAGGTTTACAACAAAATGTTTCTACAAATAAAAGGAACTGACATTGGCTAGACCATAAAACCCAGATGGCAACTATCTTGAATTTGACTTAGCTTTATTGTCACATTACTCAAAAGAGCACAGTGAAAAGGTTACAGTCACTGCATCAAAGCGCCATCATAGGTACAGGTACTTAAGATCAAAATCTAAGGAAACAAGAAAAAAAATTAGCGAAGTAATAGTCCAGCATTATAGGTCACAGGAATAAATTAAAAATATTTCATGATTAACATGGCTTTGTACCTCTTGTCTATTAGACAGTTCCAAATCGTCATGCCTAACCTTTCAACTTTTATCTACACAATTAAACCATTGCAACTTGGCTCAGCGTCCACAGAAGATAGACTCACTATCAATGCAGCTAGTGCTGTACTGAGAGTGTGTTGCATTTTGAGAAGTGTCATCTTTCAATGGATGATAACGCAATTTAAAATGCTCAAATCGGTGTAAAGATCCTATGTCTCTATTCAAAGAAAAAATTTATTCATTCCACACTGCAGGCAAAACAGGTGAACTGGTCACTTATTGCCTAATGTGGGATTTTGTCTTAAAAAAAGTTCACTTCAAAAATAGAGATAACAAGGTGTAGAGCTGGATGAACACAGCAGGCCAAGCAGCATCAGAGGAGCAGGAAGGTTGACGTTTCGGGCTTAGACCCTTCTTCTAGGCTTCATCCAGCTCTACACTTTGTTATCTCAGATTCTCCAGTGTCTGCAGTTCCTATTATCTCTCACTTCAAAAATAGTTCAATTGCTGTGAAGCACCAATAGTACTTAAAAAAAACTCTTACAGCAACTCCTTGAATAGAAAAATAGTACATATTACGAATTGAAATGAAAATTCAATTAACTTCGAGATCCATTGTTTAAGAGGCTTGCATCTGCCATCTCTTTCTTTGATCTCAAGCATGAGACTTTGAGGGCACATTTAATTTTTTAAAGTCAACTTTCAAATCTGTACCTCTCTCAAGCTTCACACATGCTTAGAAACAGGATTTAGGTACTAATGCATTAAGTGCTAAGCACCAAATGTCAAAACTTACAGGCTCACCAAATTCAAATGGAAATGCCTGGATTCCAAGGGCCAAGTGCAGCAAGGGATACACCTCACGTTATCACTTTTTCTGGTTTTACTTTCTGAAGGCACAAGAGATGCACTGAGTAGAACCAAACAGACATGCAGTCAGAGGTGCAACTAAAAGATGTGCAAAGAAGTTTCTGTATTTACGAAGGGACAAAACTAATATTTAACAATGAATACCTTTGCACATCTGGTGTTAAATTTGCCATTGGAAAAATATTCCAAATTCCATTTTAAGCAAAAAGCCCCGAATCATAAAGCCTAAAAAGCTCATTCATGAATAACAAGATATATAACCTATTTTGAAGTAAACAGCAGTACATATTAGGAGCTCCTCTGTACCTCTAATCAAATAGAGCCTTGGATTTTAGTAAAGGGACCTTGAGGGAATGGAGTATTTGCTCATAGCTGTCTGCTTGTATTTTGCAATTAACTTTCTCATTGCGTATATAGGAAAACAATTTTCTGCAAAAAAAAATTTGTTAATGTTATTTTACAATAAGATTATTGATTCTCAAAATTATATCTAAAAAGGTAGTTCTGGTTTATTTCAAAATTAAGAACTGATTTATCTTTAAAACTATGTAGCTGGAGCACTATGATATTTTACACCTATTCTACAAACCCCAAAGTGGTCCAACAAAAGCATGATGAATCAATCACAATGTTTAACACATGCTGTAGCTATTTTAACCAACCTGCTCAAACACATTAAGACACATGTCTGGGACAGGTGATGCTCGAATCCAGACCTTCTAGCCCAGAGGGTGGAAAATTACAACTGTTCTACAAGAACACTTTGAATGCACGGTGTTTGTAGTTATAAAGTGAAATCTCAACAATCCAACACACGTTTAACAAAATTATACTGTACATTACGCTGCAAAGAGATTTCTTACTGCTAACAGGCCAGGCTTCAAAACGCTTATTTCAAATAAAAAAAGAACTATCGCAGAACAAATTAAGACTGATAGAATATACATCCTGCTACAGCTGAGTTGAAAATGTTCAACTGAATTAGAGATAGCAAGAACTGCTGATACTGGAGTCAGAGTCAACGCAGAGTGGAGCTGGAGGAACACAGTAGGTCAGGCAGCAGAGGAACAGGAAAGTCGGCATTTCAGGTCAGGACCCTTTACTGAATTAAAGAAAATTGCAGCAGATAGCAAAGCACAACACCTTCGAATCTCAAGCAGGAAATACGGCCACTGAGACACAAGATAAAAGCCAACACACGGATGCTTCTACTGTAAAAACAAGTTATATTTTGAAACGAAGAACACTACATCAAAGATAGTAGGAACTGCAGATGCTGGAGAATCCGAGACAACA